ACTAGGGGTTGAGCTGCTGGAAAGCAGCTCCGCGGAGAGGGACTTGGGAGCCCTGGCTGACAACAGGTTACCCATGAGGCAGCAATGTGCCCTCGTGGCCAGGAAGGCCAATGGGCTCCTGGCCTGCATCAGGAGAAGCGTTGCCAGCAGGGCAAGGGAGGTGATCCTGCCCCTCTGCTCAGCTCTGGTGAGGCCGCACCTGGAGTAGTGGGGGCAGTTCTGGGCTCCCCAGGATAAGAGGGATGTGGAGCTTCTAGAGGGGGTCCAGCGTAAGGCCACAAAGATGACTAAGGGACTGGAGCATCTATCGTATGAGGAAAGACTGAGCGAGCTGGGCCTGTTTAGTCTGGAGAAGAGAAGGCTGAGAGGAGACTTGATCAACATGTTCAAGTACCTGAGGGGTGATTGTAGGGAGGATGGGGCCAGGCTCTTCTCCATGGTGGCCAGTGACAGGACGAGGGGTAACGGGTGCAAGTTGAAACACAGGAAGTTCCACCTCCATGTGAGGAAGAATTTCTTTGCTGTGAGGGTGCCAGAGCCCTGGACCAGGCTGCCCAGAGAGGCTGCGGAGTCTCCTTCCCTGGAGATCTTCCAAACCTGCCTGGACGCCACCCTGTGCCACGTGCTCTGGGTGTCCCTGCTCGAGCAGGGGGTTGGACTAGATGATCTCTAGAGGTCCCTTCCAACCTCAACCATTCTGGGATTCTGTGATTATAGGACATAACTTCCAGGCAACTCTTGATATTTTGATTGCCTCAACTTCTACTTGTCTATCTCAAGTTAGCAATTTTTAAAATAGATGTCAGCTCTTTTGTTTGTTTTTACGAAGTTTTCCTTCTTTTGAAGTGGCGGAAGTTAGTCACTTTATCATCTATACTGAAATAAAACAGAACAAAGAGTAGAATGGAACCTATGAGAAATAGCTCCAGAAATCCAGACTTCCTTATACATGCTAAGTAAAGCAGGATTAATCTTTTTCTTTAGTATTTTTGGTCAGATAACTACAAGGTTTTAAGAGACTTCTTGGGTAAGAGAATTACTGAAGCATCCACCAGACACAATTACCTGAGTTTTACAGTAGTTAAATAATTATGAGTACAAACTACTCTTCAAAGACAGGCTGCTTTTCAAATGTTAAGATTAAGCAATTGGAAGACGTCTCTTATGAATCACATCACCTTCTACCTTAACGTTCCATGCTTCCCTTTCTCAAATCTACCCTTTCAGCTTGACCTCCTCAGAGTCCTAAATGCAGCCCAGGACCAAAGCAGACAGGGAGAGGCTGAACTGCAGAATGCAAATTTATAATAATAAACTTTAAGCTTGACAGCCAAGCTATCTCTGAATTCTGCTGCTTAGCTACACAATCTGTTTCTGCTTGCTCTTTTAGATAGGCAGCCAGCCCAATATTAACATACAGCATAGGAGAGAAAGAGAGAAACCAAAGCAAAGTATTTCTGTAATCTATTCACACAAGTTCCTACAGGTCCAGTAAGGTTCAAAAAGAGAATACAATCTAATGGACCTATTAACCAGTTAGAATATGTTTCACCTTTCATGATGGCAAAAGCTGAACCCAAGTGTCTGGACACCATTTGGTAAAGAAAAGGATAAGAGGGGGAGGACAGGGAAGGGGCGGGGGAGGGAGGGGGAAAAAACAAAAGAGAGAGAGAGAGGAGAGGGAGGTGAAAGAAAGGAAAAAAAAAGGGAGAAAGGAAAAAAAAGGAAGTAATTCCAGTAATCACTTTGCTTATAGCACTTATAGCACTCCACTTTGCATATCACTTGATCACAGGGCTTACCTTCAAAGCAGTGCTGCTTTTGTCAGATTTTTCCTTTCCCTCCTTTTCTTTGCTACTTTTTTTCTTGGAGGCGGAGCATTCTCTTTCTCTTCTTTCATTATTTGTATCCCTTTCTTTTTTTTTTTCCTTCTTGTCCCTGCTAAGAAAAATTTTACTTATACCAGAAGTTTGATTTAAACAACAAATTTCTACCATGCATATATCAAATGCTCTGTACAGCCAGTTACACAGTTCAGAAGCTTTCAGCTAAGCTGCAACCACCTTTGAGCTATTTAGTTGCAAATTATTTTCTCATCTGCAGAGCCTTTCAAAAACAAAAACAAAACATAAAAAAGATTTTTTTTAACTGGCTAAGGCTAAAGAATGTAAGTGTTCAAAATGCACACTATCTGCAAAGAAAAAAAAACTCTATCTGATGAATCTTTGTATGGATTTGAAGTAAAGGAACTGGGATCAATGACAGATTTTAAACATTCTAGCTTAAAGCATTCCAGGGCTCAAAACTTTAAATTTAATCATACTAATCACATGCAATCATCTGAGAGAACTACTGCAAATGCAGTAAACCAAAGAAAATAATTCCTGAATTGTTTTCAGTATAGTATCTGCCTCTCATCATTTGAAAACACTGAACTTTTCCTTAGAAAAGACAATGATGATTAATAATCAGCTGCTTGCACATCAAAAAACATCCAGGAGAAATACAAATCTGAATCGGTTCATTTAACAATGCTGATATTACAACTATTTCCACCTTTATTACCCAGTAACTTTTATCTTTACATCAAACCTACCTTCTTGGAGATGGAGATCGTGAAGACTTTCTTTTTGTTGTTTTGGATGATTTAGGAGATTTGGAGGGACTTCTGCTCTTCCTTTTACGCCTTTCTCTGAAGGACCAAGAAACCCAAGATCAACAATTAGGAAAATAATAAACTCAAGAAAATTGCATACAAAGCAGAAAGCTCTTAAACTTATTTGACAACTGACCGAACAAATATTCCTGGAGATTAACATCATGTATAGCCAAAAACATCCGACTTATATGAACAAGACGCATTAAACTTGGTGTATGTTTTTAGTGTGGTGGAAAAGGGGAGAATGAAAGTGAAAAGTAGGAGAAAAGATGTCCCCCCTTCAAACTTATGTTTATCCTCACATGCCTGTATTTACATCTGCTATCAATGGAAACACACTGCAATTGGTAACATTATATTAAATAACAGTTTCTTCAGTCAGGAAAAGAATCCAATTGAATGAGGAACCACCCAAAGATAAAGGCGTAACTCGAACAACATGAACTTCAACATTTAACTGGAGTCCCAGTTCGGCAGGACTCCTGAATAACTCCTGTTTAACTCCTGAATACACGAAGCAATGTGCTTGCTGGATCCAAAATACCGATATGGATAAGTTACTATTTATTATTTTCCTAGCTGTCCAGCTCTACAAGCTTATTTATTATTCTACAACAGACTCAAGTCCAATAAAGGCAAATCAGAACCCTCAATATTTAACTAGCCAGCTGTTTTATATAGTTACATAGAATTTGCTAAAGTTGCTATTCTGAAGTCTGAACATTTAAATTACTAGTGGCAAACACAGAGGCACACGTTAAAGCCAAAATGGATGCTTCATTCAGTGTAAATACTGGCCCCTTATCTGTCAAAATAAGATCTTTTCCCATTATTTCTTTGTAGAACAGGAAAAATAGACAGGAAGAAACATCAAACAAAATTAGGGAGGTTAAAACCTAAACTTTAAGATATGACACAACAGCCAGAAATGTGCATTCCAGGCTCTTGCAATTCACAAAACTTTAGGCTGACTAACACAGAGAAATGGTACAAGAACCAGTTACTCGTCCTCAAGGACTCTAATATGCAGTTATGTGAAAGGCGAGCAATCAGGAGTCACACAAGAATCTATACACAAACAGGTATCATACAGAACTCTTGGCAAAGATTTTATCTTACAGGGCTATCTACAGAACAAAAAGAAAGCAGACTAAATTTGTAAGTAATGTAAATTGACACATGAAAATTAGGATGTGTGCATATCACAGTGCCTCACTGTGACAATAATAAATAAATAATAAAATAAACTATGACAAAAATTCTGAACAACAAACCTGCTGGAGCTACGAGATCTTCTTGAAGAGCTATAGCTTCTTGGAGGCGTTTTGAATCTCTTCTCTTTTTTCTTTTTATCATCTCTTTCTTGCTCCTTCTCTTTCTCCCCATCTTTTTCCTTTTCCTTGTCTCTGTCCTTGTCTTTGTCCCCTACTTTGTCCTTATCTCCCTCCTTGTCCTTCACCTTCTCTCTGTCCCTCTCCACCTCTTTCTCAGCATCTCCTTCTTTTTCTTTGTTCTGGTCTACCTCTTCCCTATCTTTTTCTTTGTCCCTATCTTTGTCTTTTTCCTTTTCCTTATCCTTATCTTTGTCCTTCTCCTTTTCCCTGTCTCTATCTCTATCCTTATCTCTGACTCTCTCCCGATCTTTGTTTCTCTCTTTGTCTCTGTCCCTGTCCTTCTCCTTGTCCCTGTTTCTCTCTTTATCTCGCTCTCTTTCTTTATCTCTGTCACGGTCTCTCTCCTTCTCCTTGTCTTGATCTCTCTCTTTCTCCTTTTCTTTGGCCTTTTCTTTCTCCTTGACCTTTTCTTTGTCTCTTTTCTTGTCCCTGTGAAAAGTAAAGAAATCCATCTCTGAACTTTCTAATTACAACTAATTACAACATGCATTCATTTCTCAACAGAAACTATGGCTCTCAAATTAAAAGAAAAATAATTATGCGATATTTAAATCTTCCATGCCTGTTTGCCATGAGGGAGAGACTCCAGAGCCAAGAAAAATTTGGAAAACAAACTGAGGTAGGAGGAATGAAAACCAAAATAAACCATGACCTTCTAGGTGATGTAATTAGGCTTTTAGAGAATGCGGTCCTTTACCTTGCAGTTAAGTTTCTACACATCCACACATTTTCTACATTTTGTCATGAATGAGACAAACTCTGCAATTTGTAAATTTAATCCTTTCCTAACAGGAAGTGTGCCCATGTAAAATGAACTGCAGAATAATGACTCCCTCATGAAAAATGACAGCTGACTGAAGAGGTCTAAAGTCAACAGTATTCACTCGTATTCTAGAACTGCTTGAAAATCCGACATCAATGTATACAGAGAAACAAAAAACATGAACAGAATTCTAACTAAGAAGACATCTCAAAAGCCAGACTATAAGATCAAAGCTCAATTGAAACAATTAATCATATGTAATGTTAAAAGAAAAACATTTTAATCGAACAAACAAAGGATATCATTTCTTAGGAACAGAAACTCACCGAGAACGAGAGCAACTTCTTGATTTTCGCCTTTCTCTAGATCTTGACCGTTTTCTCAGAGGACTTCTGGATCTCCGACTGTCCTTGTGCCTTGAGAGTGATCTATTGCCAGATCTACTTCTACGTAAACAACATCAGAAGAAAAATACTTGAATATAGAGACTTATAAAAATTAAACCAACTGAGGGGAAAAAATAAATACTGCCTCAAAAGAAATTATATATGCAGTTTGATCTCAAAGGGAAGGGCTCTGGAGCGGACGCTCGTACCATAGCTCCTTGTCTAGAGGCGAACAACTGCGGCGAAAGCCGCCGAACGAGAAAGCATAGACAGCGAGAGGCAGCCCCAGCGCCGACCCCCGTGCGGGCAGTGC